GCCTGTTCTGTTCCCCACTCTGTCTCTGGTGAATCCTCTCAAACCCACACCCCTCCACCTGCTTCTAGCCTGTACCCCACTTCTTGAGTTCTTATGCACATAAATAAATCTTTAAAAAACTTGAAATAGTAAAGTTCTAAGTATATGGCACAAAGTCAGAGGTTACATACATAAACATATACATATAGACACACTCAATAACCACAACAAAAACATCATATACAACTCATATCACAGATAAGGGAATCATTTCCTAAACATAAAATGGGCACTTACAATTTAGTAGCAAAAGACCAACAACTCAATAGGAAGTATGTGACCTATAGCACATAATAAAGAAAATCATACTGGTTCTTAAACATATGAAAAGATGCATCACTCATAAGAGAAATGCAAATTGAAATCACAATGAAATACCTATCAGATTAGCAGAACTCACCAATGGATGGCAACTTACCAACATCAATCAAAATTTAAAATGTGGGCTTCCAGGTGGCACAGGACTTAAGTCAGGTGCTATCAAGCTATTGCCAGCCACCGCAGCCTGAGTTCCATTTCTGGCCAGGAAGGTGACCTACATGGCACAGTAGACCTCTCCTGTCCTGCCTACTGCTCCCCTCCACAGTGTACTTCAGTAGATCTGCCTGTTCTGCTGCCCACTCTGTCTCTGGTGGATCCTTTCATCCCCCACACCATTGGCCTGTATCCCAGTTCTTACATGCATAAATAAATAAATCTTAAAAATATATTTTTTTAAAAACTTAATTACAGTGCTGTATATAGTGTTGGAGATCCAGAGTATTGGAAACAACCTAAATGTGCATCCAAAGGAAATTTGTTAACTAAATTATAATACATTATACAAAGGAGTGGAGATATAACTGAACTCCTAGGGGAAAATCTTCATAATACAGAGACTCTCTATTTAGTAAGTATCCTAGAAGTCACAGCTATGGGCACTCCCTGATGGCACAGTGGGTTAAAGCACAGCACTAAGAAGCTAAAGTCACTTCAACATGAGTTTGATCCCTGTCCTGAGGTGACCCACATGGCGCGGCAGAACTTTCCTGCCTGCCTGCTGCTTCCCTCAGCAGTGTACCTCTTCAGCCAGCCTGTTCTGTTTCCCGCTCTGTCTCTGGTGAATCCTCTCACCGCCCCTGCACCCCTGTTCTGTATGCATGAATAAATAAATCTTTAAAAAAAAAAAGGTCACAGATATAAAATAGTAACAATAACTGTACCTACTATATATAGAGTTGTAAAAGATTGAATGAGTTAAAGTACCTAAAGCACTTAGAACAATACCCACAATATACCACTATCTGCTTCCACAATTGTTAAAAAAAAGAGCCCATACACAACAGCATGTACAACTTTTTTTGTATAAAAGAAAAATAGGCCCTCCCTGGTGCCTCAACAGGTTAAGACGCAGCACTGCAAGCTAGCTGCTGCTGCTTCAGTGTGAGTTCAATCCCCAACCCCAGAGGTGACCCACATAGTGCAGCAACAGCCCCTGTCTGACCTACTGCTCTGTGTATCTCAGTAAATCTGCCTGTTATGCTCCCCACTCTGTCTCTGGTCGATCCTCTCACTGCCCCTCACCTCTGGCCTGTACCCCAGTTCTGTATGCACAAATAAATAAATCTTTTTTAAAAATAGGAGTATGGGTTAATTATCTTGAAATTTTCACAACAAACAAGTAGTTGCCTCTGGAAAGAAACTCAGGAGCAAAGGGACCCAGGAGCAAGGCAATTTATTTTCAGTCTGCCTTTCTACAACTTTTTAATTTTTTAACCACAGATATTTTACATCTATTTGAAAGGGAAAAGGATTTAAGGAGAAAATTAACAATCAGAAACACATTAAAAGTAATTAAATTTTGTAATATGTAGAAATTATTTTTTAATCATTTCCATGACTTTTATTTTGTTTAAAGGATTATATACTGCAGTAATTGAATGCTTTGTCCCAACACTTGTTATCCAATTTCAAATTATTGATGGAGCAGAGTCCTTATACCTCAATGTATGACCCGCAGATCAGAATTCACACTACCTGGGAACTTTTAGAAATAGATTCTGGGACCTTGCTGGTGGTGCAGGGGTTAAAGTCTCAACACTATCAAGCTAGTAGCTGCCAGCCACTGAGGAAGTAGTTCAATTCCCAGCCAGGGAGGTGACCCACATGGTGAGGCAGACCTCGCTTGTCTCTTACCTGCTCCACCCCTCAGGAGTGTATTTCAATAGATCTGCCTGTTCTGCTCCCCACTCTGGTAAATCCTCTCACCCCTCCCTGCACCTCTGGCCTGTCCCCAGTTCCTGCATGCATACATAAATCTTTAAAAAAAAAAAAAAAGAAAGAAAGAGGGTCCTCTCTGGTGGCTCAACGGGTTAGAGCCCAGCATTGCAAGTTGGCTGCAGCTAGGGAGGTGACCCACAAGGAGCAGCAGACCTCTCCTGACCTGCCCGCTGCTCCCCATCAGTAGTTCACTTTATCATCTGCCTGTTCTGCTCCCCACTCTGTCTCTGGTGAATCCTCTCATTGCACCTGCACCTCTGGCCTGTACCCCAACTCTGTATGCATAAATAAATAAATCTTTAAAAAAATAAAAAAGGAAAGAGAAATCCCACCATCAGAACCTACTTCAAATTTTTTGATCATGAAATGGGGGAGGAGGGTAGGAAGGAACAAAGTATTTGAGAAGAAGAAACTAAGTTCATGAAATTACTGATACTAATTTTACTACTCATTGGTAACAAAATGGGATTGTTGTCTTTGTCATACCACACACATGCACAAGTGAGAACTCCAGTGAATTTAAAAAGATATTACTGACAGATTACTGGATTAAAAAGTTGTGGTAC